AAAAAAAAAAAACCTTAATTGAGCTGGCCAGTGCTTAACATTTATTGATCATTTGTTGTGTGCTTGATCAGCTGTGTTAAGTTCTTTACAACCATCCTCTCACTTAATTCTAACAACCCTATGAGGTGCTTTCTTTTTTTTATTTTTAATTGTGATTCAGGTGAAAGTTTACAGAGCAAATTCATTTTCCATAAAACAGATAATACACATTTTGTTTCATGACACTGATTGCAATCCCTGGAACATAACAGCTCTCTTCCTACTTCTTCCCTGTGGTTACCTTTTCCCTGTGTCTTTCCTTCCTTGCATTCCTGCCCTCTGAGCTATCTCCCTATGCAAATACTGCCCTTCTGATCTCCCATGGTTTTTCTAAGGGATGTATCTACCTGTGTAAATGCTCACTTTATATACCTGTCTACTGTTTGACCGGAAGTCTCAGGAGTGATTTTCAATTCCAGGCCCAAAGTGGGTTTCACCAGTCTCTGTCAGACCAGTAAACCTGGTCTTTTTTATGATTTTGTGCTTTGTTCCACATTTTTCTCCTACTCTGTCCAGGATCTTCTATTTTAATCGCTTCCCAAGTGGTTGACAGTGGTAGCCAGGCACCATCTAGTTCTGGTCTTAGGGTCATGTATGCTGAGGTTCACATGGCCCATTAGTTTCTTGGACTAATTGTCTCTGTGCATCTTTGGTTTTCTTCATTCTTCTTTGCTCTGAATGAGGAGAAACATACTGCATGTTATATGGCCACTTGCAAGCCAGTGTTTTTGTATAGTATGTTATACTAGTTGACCTTGATGTCCCAAGCAACCATGGCCCTGAGCCCATGGGCACAGTGACTCATTCTCTTAGGGTGTTCAGCTGTGGCTAAGAAGTTATAACTTTGCCTGGTTAGCTTTATTATATATATGGACATTCTTAATAGTGCATGTTGTTGTTGTTACGTGCCGTTGAGTCGGACCCAACTCATAGCGACCCCTCGGGTTTCTGAGGCAGTATCACTACGGAAATAAATTGCCCCATCTTCCTTCCGAGGAGTGGCTTACTAGCGCATACAGATACATATATAAAAATATCCTCTGCCAAACTCATGTGGTCATAGGTATATTCCCTTTTGCCTAGACATACCTGATCATTTACCCTGTCTATATAAATGAGATATATTTTATTTCTATATTACATATGAGGAAACTGAACTAAAAGAATTTAAGTGCTTTTAATAGTGGGGGGGAATTTGCTATCAAGTTGATTCTGACACATAACAACCATAGGACAGAATAGAACTAGCCTATAGCGTTTTCCAAGGCTATAATCCTTATATAAGCAGATTCCCACATCTTTGTTCTGTAGAGCAGCTGGTGGGTTTCACCCTCTGACCTTTTGGTTGGCATCTGAGTGCTTAACCACTGCACCACCAGGGCTCCTTAGTAGTGAAATACCAAACCAAAAACTACTGCTATTGAGTCCATTCTGACTCACAGTGACCCTATAGAACAAAGTAGAATTGCCTCATAGGATTTCCAAAGCTATAAATACTTACAGAAACAGAAGGCCACATCTTTCTCCTGTGGAGCTGCTGGTGGGTTTGAACCTCCAGCCTTTTGGTTAGCAAACCAGTTAAAATGGAGCTTTAGTCTTAAAGATAGACATTTACATAAATAAAAGAACAGTGTAGTTGATATATATATATATGTTCAATAATTATTCTTCCAGAATTAACTTTATTAATCCATCTTCTTCCTACTCTATGACTATGTTTTCATCTTGGAGCCATGAGCAAAATTTATAGCTATTGATAATTGTTCTTATTTTTGCCTTTAGTGGAATCTAATCAGAAAAGCTCATTCCAAGAAATTCCCAAACTTAATGAAGAACTACTCAGCAAACAAAAACAACTTGAGAAGATTGAATCTGGAGAGCGGGGCTTGAACAATGTCTGGATAAACATCACAGAAATGAATAAGCAGGTAGCAGAATGTGGTATTTCTTTGTAAGCCATGGAGAGTTAGCTTTGTTTTTCTTTTTTGTTTGTTTGTTTGGGATATGAATTTATAGGTACAGGGAACACACTTCAGATCGTTTTACTTCTTAAAATGGTGTCTTATATACTATGATCCCAACACATTAAAGTCAGGTAAAATGGGCAATAGTGTGTATTTACAAAATATTTAAAATTTTAACCCTTTTTACAGAGGAATGGAGTTTCATCAAGTAGAGGAAGTTGGAAATACTTAAGTCAGCTTTTCTTAAAGGGCAGTTTAAGAATCACATTTAAAAAGAAACATCATCTAACCATCAAGAAAAGGAGGTAGCCTATTTTTATTAGCTAAAAGAGCTGTTTTTGTTCATTGGAGTTAATAAACTTACAGACGCAGCATTGGGAAATAGTGCTATACTGCACCACTACCAGTTAATACTAGTTGTTCTAGACTAATATAAGAGCAGGTGGCAAAGTTGGTTAAATACCTTAATCAGGCAAACAAATCTAGAGCAAACACTTTTTCAATCCCTAAAGTGGCCAGAGCTTACTAGGTTTTGATTCTAAAAGAGGAACTCTGCCACAGGAAAGAGACTATTCAAAGGATATTGATTGAGCATCTCCTATGTATATGGTTCTGTAGTTGCCACTGGGTAACTTTAACCCCTTACTCAGATTTTATAGTTATTTAAGACATATGCACTGGATGGTGGTGGGTGGGAGTGAAATGAGATAAGGAGACAAACAGGTCCAAGTGTGTATTGTGGGAACATTGAGAAGCATGTATATCTAACCTAAGGCATTTGACTGCTAACCAGAAGGCTGGTGGTTCAAACTCGCCACTCCTTGGAAGGAAGGTGGGGCAGTCTACTTCCATAGTAATACCGCATCAGAAACCCAAGGAGGGGTCGCTATGAGTTGACTTGACTTGATGGCAGTGAGTTTGGTTTTTTGTTTATATCTAACCCAGACTTACTGGAGCCAAGTCCTGAAGGGCAAATAGGACTTAGCCAGGTGAATCTGCAGATAGAGAGAAGGGTATTCTAGACAAAATATTACTATGTACAAGAACATAGAGGGATGAAAACACAGTGTATTCGGGGAATTTTAGTAGTTTGATATAGCTACAATTTGGTGGAAAGGGGCAGAGATGATAACTCAGCAAGGAGTTTGAGTGCCCTTCTCCTATAGCATTCTCTGTATCTCTTTTCTGGCACTTGTGCAAATGCCTTACGTGATAGCTATTTGTGTATGGATTTAATTATACTAGAAACTTGAACCCTGTACTTTGGGCCCTAAGCATGATGATGAACGTGATAGTGATAGCAACGATAGTTGTGGTGGCTTTGAAGATGCTAACTGCCATTCATGAGATAACTTTGTGCAGGGCACTACTAGATACTCTTTCTATATTATCTGCTTTCTTCATTTTTTT